ATCACTTTCGAGTTCTTTATTAAGAACATTAAACGTCCCCTCATTCTTCAATCAAAACAAACCTGTGGGGGAAAATAGATCTGATTTCACCTTTAAAATAACATGCCGCTATCCTTAGGCAGTAAAGCCTAAAGACCCTTCGTTTTTATTTTGTTTTAGTAACATTCTTGGTTAAAATATTTGCGATATTTTTAAATATTAGTTTTATAGTTAATTTTTCTACTTATGAAAATTATTTGTAAAGCTAGTTGAACATCGTGAGGTATTGGATTAGCCAACTGATGAATCAATGCATTGTAATCGTTATGTAGGTTTTACTTTCATTGCCTACTAATTTAGGCATTTTCTAGTCGGTTTGCTATGTAGAATTAGCTTCATTAGTTCTTAAACTGCTTTTAGTTCTGATCTGTATACTGAACTTTCTTTGATCAGAAATTTCTTTAAAATCTTTGTAAGAACATAAAAAATATTTTTATTCGAAGTTTTTTCCAGTAATATATTCAAGAGCCTATCGCTGTTATCTAATTCTAACAAATATATAATTCTAGCATTATAGTCCGTGATCCTGGACTTGTAACATTGCCTATTTCTTACCCTCATATGGAACCTCTGACTCCGAGTTTGAATCAAAATTCAAACAAGTGTTTTTTTTTATATTACGCATTATTAGAGATCATTGTTTAGATTAGAGTCTTTGGTATCAAATCGAAATTCCTTATTGCATACATCTTTTATGATGGCCCTCAAAATCCACCATTTGTCGTTATGTCTCAATTTCGTTTCTAAGAAACCTATTTTCCTTATCTCCCCTAATTTACTGTTTCTCCCTCCCCACTTTCCCCCTTTTTCGTGTTCCGTTTAATGTATTTGACTCTCCATGTGTCATCCTGGTTTGTTTTATTTACTTCTTTTATATTTTTTAGGGCAAATTTCATCTCTTATTATGCCTCTTCGTCTCCAAGTTTTTTCTTCTGATGTCTGAATGTATGCTTCTATCGTCTTCCCTTTCTATCTTGTTTCATTCGTACTTGAAGACCAATATCTACGAATTCACTTTTCTTTTTGTTATTACATATCTTTCTGATTTGTTTTGGTCTGTGTTGCGTTTTCTTCTTCTTTTGCTTTAACTTCCATCTACGCTTTTCTTCTTCTTTTTTTCTGTAAGTCAACGTATTTGTCCTCCAGTTAATCATCCTACTCTATTTTCACCCTGAAAAAAAAACCCCAGTAAAGTTTTATACGTTCCTTTATTTAATAACATATCGTTGACACAAAATGTCGCCGAACACGGTTTTACGATAAGAATTTAATAATAAAATATGTTAACATGTGAAATGTTTATTTAAATACAGATTGTTGTGTCACAAATAAACTTGGTGCTTCCTATGACGAACGGCGCGAGTGCTGATTCTTCGAGGCCTACATTCTTACCTTGTTTCAAAAGAGCAAGGTCTGGTTAGTTGGAATTTTAAGCAAGGCCGTTATTAAAAGCGTGGTTTGTAAATGAATTTTCGTATGACTACTAAACAAAAAATGTGTTCATGTACTCAACGAAAAAGAAAGAAAAAAGATGGGCTTGTTTTCCAGGTACATTACTTTGTGAATGAGTCACTAACCTTCGCAGTCGGTTTGGTCTCCATTAGACACGACCTTCTCGATCTATTCGCTCTGACCATGTTGTACCTGGGTCTAGTTATTGCATAAAACACACCTTTTCACGATATTGGAATAAAACGTGAGACGTTTTACTATTAGTCTCATTAGCAGTTTCGTAAACAATTTTGTACCTGTTGTGTATGTAGAATGTGAGTTTTCAGGTTTTTTTTTAAATTTATTTTTTGGATCTTTCTTAGAAACTGTGATGTACTTATGATACTTAGTGATGACGTCCAAATTGTCATGTTATATCTTTAATTGGTATGAAAGAGTTCATTAGTTTTGCATATTGATACGTCGACCGTGTCTTTATACGTTTAATATGCGTCGTGGCGAAATCCAATAAATTAATTTTATCTAAAAAAATATTTTTTTGTTTTTCTCTAAAATTTAAGATGAAACAGTGTTTGACTGGAAAATTCGATAAGTAGTTTTAAAAAAATATTTGTCGATATTTTTTGCTAAGAAATGCTATTTAATGGTGAAAATGACTGAAGTATTTAACATGTCTTGTTTTTGTTTTCTATAAAGGTTCTCGTAGTTGTACTGACTGATTTGACGTGTGTATTCCGCCATAAAGTGTTTTAGAATAATATTAAAAGCCTCGATAGGTAGAGATTTTATTTTTCCACTTAGAAGTGATCTAAATACTTAAATATATTGATTACTATGATGTTTCCACTTAGAAGTGATATAAATACTTAAATATATTGATTACCATGATGTTTCCACTTAGAAGTGATATAAATAC